GCAGATATGGCGCAGATAAGGTAGTTAGCTGAATGTATGATATTCCCATGCATCCTGGATTTCTCCTCGTAATTTTACCGCTTACAATTTACTAACAATCTGTCATCATACATCTTGGTTGCAGCTATTCTTCGCAACAAATCAATTGCTTCTGTGCGTGGATTTATTTTCCAATTAAATACTTATGTAAACACTACCGTACCATCAAAATTGGACTAATCTAATTTTAGATCAATCTATATATATACATATATATATATATATATATATATTCATAATCTGTTGACAGACATTGTGCCATAAGAACCGTGGCAGAAGAAAAAAGTGCCGATGGAAACACGAACTGTGATTAAAAATGAGGAACAATTTTTTCTGTTTTTCACACGCCATTTTGTATTTTTTGTTTTTTGAGTATTTGTGTGTATTAAAGGAGAAGTGTAATGACAGAACAACATTGACGCCCCTGATGTCTGTTGCGGGCCATGACGTCTAATGTTTCCAACCACTGAGATTCAGTGTCTCGTGGTCCCCAACCTGGAAGACGGACTTTTCCGACTGCCGCCAAACTTGAGGTTGCCTTCTTCATGCTCCTCCACGTCATTGGCTGTGTGGATTGATCCCATTGGGTATCGCTCACAGTGATAAAAGATCGGCAAAGTAAGAGTTGAGTGCCTCAGCTACAACTTCTGGTGTATCCATAAGAATACCCTCTGGTATGATAAGACGTAGCGGTAGGGTTTGTTATGTGCGGATCCACATTTTGGTAATCGTGTTACTTCAAGCGTCGAACTAACCATATTTTGAATATCAGCCTCTTCTCTATTAAGACGAAGGATTCTCAACATTTTATTCTTAATTACCAGTCTGTGGTGCTTAAATAGCAAGCAACAACGGCCACTTGAACTGATGCTTCACTACCATACAACCATGATAACCTGTGGAATAATGAATAATTAGAGGAGGAGAAGAGAATTTACCGGAAAACCCTAATGCCCTAAACAGACACTTAGCGTCAAACTGTCTACACCTTGTATCAACAGTATTCCGTCACAAACGCCTGGATATCGTGCAAAGAAAAGGCAGCACCAGCGAAACAGCTTCCTTGCGGCCTTCAGTGCGCCGCGTCATAATCAGCCATTACCCCGCAGATAAATAAACAATAAACACATTAAACTGGCAATCCGACTCGAAGACGACAGCAGACGCGCTACTGGTGCCGACTGCGAGCCTGTCCTGTAAACCCTCGAACCAAGCACAAGGCGGGTCACGTGGACTCCAGCCCGGAAGACGAGACTAGCCGACGGCATCCAGTTTGGTCGTCTTTGACTTCGTTCCCCACTGCGAAGTCAATGTTTGTCAACGAGCCTTGCGCCACCCTACATGTGGCTAACAAAACAAGGTCCTCCTCAGTAAGCGGTGACCAGGCATACCTAGTACGTAGCCAAGCCAACGCAACTTATTCAGTGCTATCTGTTTTTTCTCAAAAACTAGCTTAGGTTATCAATGCCTAGTACTCACCTACGCACATCATCGTTGCGGACACACTGGTGCCACCCAACACCAGCACTGCTCCGTAAACAATGATGATGGAAGACTTGAAGGCACCTCAGATCTTCTGACATGAATGCGCCACGTCTCACTCCCATAAAGCAACGGAGCCCTCGCTGTGGCCTTGTAAGCACAGGTTTTCTAACGGAGGGAAGCTCCCTTCTGTCGCCGAAAATGCCGCAGGTTCACGAAGGCAGTTTTGTCTTTTGCAATGCGTGAACTGACTTCAGTTTCTATGCGTCCATCCTTGCTGATGCAGCTGCCAAAGTGAGTAAATCGATCGACCATCTCCCCAGTTTTTTCGTTCTCCAGCATCAAGTGGTCATCAAGTGTTTGGTGGTACTACGGCAACAGTGCACTTTGAAGGTGCGAAGCGCATACCAAATAATGGGACCATTCTAGAGAGGCTATTCAGGGTTCATTGTGCCGCCGCAACACCATCCAAAAGCAAGACAATACTGTCCGCATAATCAAGATCGGCTAAGCTTTCATCAAGCAGGACCTCTACGCCTACATCGGGAGATTCCATGAGTGAACACTCCATGATGGAGTCCACGTTGAAGTTGAACAAAAACGGGCAAATCTGACAACATTGACAAACGCCACTTGTTGTCGGAAAGATATTCGACAGTTCATCGTAGACCCTGACGCGGCCTGTAGTGTTCGAGTATGGAGCACAAAAGATGTTCATATATTTCGTGGGAACACATTTCCGCGCAAGTATTTCGAATAGGATGTATCGATCCTGAGTAACAATTTGAGTTTGCACACAAAGTGTGGTGGTTATGTGCGTGAGATTCAGGAAAGCGTTTGTTAAAATGCAATTGCGAGGTAGGCATTGCTACAAAGAGAATTATCTTTGATTTCGGAACTTTGGGATTGAGCTAGTGAATCCGAGTTGAACGAGTGCAACCTCAGCATTATATGTTGTGATGGTGGTGGTGGTGAAAATCCACAAAATGTCAAGACACCGAAAATTTGCGATCGTACATAACGTACGTACGAATCAAATGAAGCACCGTCCATTCAAACACACGCGCGCTGTACGATCGGACTTACCGGCACTGCACTGAATGCGCATAGACGGCGTCATATATGCACCAGGGAACGCATGAACGCGACACTCACTGAAACAAAACGTTTCTGCAAGTGTCCGCACAGTTGTTGCCTGTGTCCAAACTTAACGTTCACGAGTGCCTTTGGGATGTGTCGGCAGGGATGAGGCGAATTACTTGCAACTTGCTCACTCGCTGGTGTTGGCTCAGACAGTGTTCTCCGTGTGTGGTTCTCGCGCATTCACCCAAGCACTTCTCGTTTGCTTTCTGCACATATTCTAATGCGCATTCAATTTAGACAATTCACATCCTCAACATGGAATTATTGTCTATAAATAATTTGTGGTTCGAATCAGCTTCCAAAACAGATAGTCCTCTATGTATCCGGAAAAGCACTATATAGCAGTTTCCTTCTATCGGGACTCCTCAGTGCTGCGCACAAATCAGCTACCTCTAGATCCGAAATCATGGCAGCTTACGTTGTATGGCTGAAGTAGGTGTGATTTTTTGTTGTCATCTATCTTTCTAATTATCCCTAATTAAAACTGCACTGTTGACAAGTCTGTTCACAAATTTTGCCAACTAGAGAATGGACTTAGATGAAAGTGACTGAACTAAATCAGGGAAGGACGGTGACTGAGCTTAAAATAAACATATGATTAAACACCTCGTTGCATTTTTCGTTGCATCATCGATCAACCTCACACGAAATATTACTGTGTAAAGTCAGGTCATTTCCACGTGTTCTCCATGGTCGCTTTCTTGCTTCTTTGCACTCTTCAGGGAGGAGATAATTGAATTGGAACTCGCACCCGGGATATTGATTTTGCCGATGAGTGCCTTATGCCCTACCGCTCAACTTTGCGGAGAGTGTTTGTCATAGACGTTAAGAACCTATTGTTGGTTTGATTCAACTGTAACACGCTCTAAATCTTAACTCCTTGTTTTGTGAGCCGTTCGGGACTGGCTAATCCTTGACCCTAACCCATAGATGATGAATACCAGGTCAATTACTTCTCTTCTTGTGTTAGCCTGTACAACGTTCTCGCTGGATATGGAGAATCCTCTATACTTCTTGTAGGAAACCTTTGTACTCATGCTCTCCTTGCTTCATCCATCAATTATTCGTCATACATTACTACTTCAGCTTACCATTAGTCGCGTTACGTCCCAGGTCATCCGGCGTCATGCTTAACTATAGTAGAGTGTACTTTGACCGTTATTTTTCTAAACAGCCTATCAATTTACACGTTTTGGGCACTGCTCGCATTTCTCTCGGTGTTGGAGTTTGCGGAGTACAGTGCAGGTCCTGTTGTTGTAGCCCAGGTGCCATCTACGATATTGGCCGTATGTTGGTTTGATGCTGCTGTGGAGCAACACGATAGTTCATGCTTCGACAAAGATTGTGGTCGGCGTTGTTGAATGAAAGCAGTCAATATCTTAGTTACGGCGTATAGCATCTTCGGCACTCATTCTTTAAAATATTCTAATTCACATCTACAGCATATCTAAATTTTTGTTGACATTTGATAGCATTGTAGTAGCATTTCAGTTCTTTGGACTTGTGAAAGTCCATCTTCTTTGGGTACCTTCACGCTAGTTGCTGATCGCGTTCACTGAAATAAAATCATTTCGCTGTCTACCGTTCCCTAAGATCCACTCACCCATAATGTCGTCTGCTCCACAGCTGAGTGCACTTCGCTCATCCTGAATGCAACTGACCATGGCTTCGATATAATCAGAGGCGCTGAAGATTTGACCTTCTTCAACAGCACTTTACTCACGTTAGAATTTCCTAGCAATGTTTTCGTGTAGACGTTGTTCGAAACCGACCTTCAATCACAACCTCACCTTCCAGCTGAACCCTTCAGTTCACATTTCATACAATTGTCATTTCCTTGGTTGCGGCACATTCTCTTGCTAGTTCTCACGCTTTTCGAAAAACCTCCACCTTTATACATCAGTAAACACAAACCAATCGCTAACCATCCAAAACACTAACGATATTTCACAAGACACTACATCCTTGCCGGATATTACTTGCACACCTTTACGCAGATGTGCGACCGCTTAATCACACAGTAAAGGAGGATTTCCAACTCTTGATTTTGATACTCTTTGGCCTTTTATGATTTTCCGGAATTTAGTGGCTCTGTTCCATGCATAACAGCTTCTTAGCATTAGTTCTCAAGACGTTGGCGAAGATATCACCTTTTCTTCTCTTATTTGACCGCCGTTGTTCTATAGTTTTCTTCAGATCTGACTCGTGGCACCATATCTTATCAATGCGACGGAATTGTTCGCGTGTTTTATAGACCACTATATGTGACTTATAAAACCCACTTATTGATTCATCTCATTTCTGGTTTGGTACTTTATTTCTCTGTTTCTCATCAGGATGATGAGGATATTCGTGACCTAGAGACTGACGAGCCCGCACAACCTAACCGAACAAACGTAGCTCATATGCCAGTAGGTTTGAGACGCAAGCATTTTTTAATGGCTTTTTTCAACATATCTATTTTTGGTATGGTTTATCCTCAATACCCTTCTTGTATTAAGGACCATCTTCTGTCTCTTCATGTGTGTTCGTTCAGTTTTTTCAGCTCACTCGTTTCCTGATTTGTTGCGCATAAGATGTAGGTAATCGCAATATATTTGTAGACGGTTATTCCCACTTCATTGCTTTCATTACAGCGACTGGAACTCTTCATAAACGAGTTAGGGATGTTGACCTGTAGTGACAATCCTAGGAGCATGTCAGCACATGGGGCTGTCCTAACGGTCCAATTTGATAGCTTCCAACCACAGAACGCAGGGCTAATTATCATGGTTCGACATACTTCGGCGTTTCGTGAGCACTATCCAACTACTAGTCGGCAAAATATGTTCCACTACTAAAGTAAGCTAACTAGTTACGCGCCTTCTTAAATTTATGACGTCACAAAGAGGTTTCCCTCGGTCTGAACAGCCCTGACTACAAGGCCACAGTGAGAGCCCTCTTACTCTATGGGAGTTAGACCTGGCCCCTTCGATCTTCTTTGATCATTGTTGTTTGTGAAGCATTGCTGGTGTCGGATGACACCAGCATGTCCTCAACGATTAACTTCTAGGCAGTGATAATCAAGCTAGTTTCTTAGAACAACAGATAGCACTGAATTAGTTGCGTTGGCTTGGGCACCTTGCCTGGTCACAGCCTACCGAAGATAGGGTTGTTTTGTTTGCCACATGTGGAGTGGCGCGAGGCCCGAGGTGAGTTAAATCACTGACGACCACCTGACCCGCCTTGTGCTTGGCTCCAGACGTTACACGACGTAGCTCGCAGTCGGCACCAGTGGCGTTTCCGCTGTGGTCTCCTAGTCGGACTATCTGTTAATACTGTGTTTGCTGCTGAGTTACCTGCAGCGTAACGGCTGATTATGACGCGGGGCAGTGAAAGGCGTAATGAGGCTGTCTTGCAGATGCCTCCTTATATTTGCATGCTAACCAACTGTTTGTGACAGTATGTTTTGACACATGGTGTTGGCGCCTTGACTTTCAGTGTTTGTTTAGGGCATTACGGTTTTACGCTAGGTCCTCCTTTTCATCCTCTCATTATTCTTTGCTCCCTAGTTAATCATGGTTTTACGTCTATGATGCATCAGTTCAGATGGTTGATGTACTGTTATTTATGTTGATGATGTAACTTCAACCTTCTGATTTATGTTAGGAATTGGTATTTGGTGTCCGCAACTCCACTTAATTTGCTCACGAGAACTTTTTACCGATGTTCATTGCTGATTCAGTCATTCATCTTACGTGTCCGACTTATCTCGTTGGCATCGTTGTACCAGTTGTTTCTTTTGCTGATGCGAAGCTATTAATCTTTGTTCCTAACTCCAGGTTCCGCCAGCCTCTGGAAACGATCTACTGTAAGTCGTTTTCCGTTACTCTTTATTATTCACGTGCTTCTTGGATTTTTCTCTGTTGCATTTATCTTGATGTGTTTGTCGATCTTGCAGAGATTTCAGTTGCATTCATTAGGCACTACTTCATGCTTTTTCGGTTTGGCGGCTGCATAACACCCACCATATTTTGTGGATTGCTTTTGTGTATCCTCTCCGTCAGTGATAATAGGGTTACCCTCGGCCTGTTATCAACCAACAATGCGACCAGCAACTATTTAGTATAGATGAAAATTCGTCACACTTAGACTCACTCAGACAGCCGTCAAACGCCCGGAAAAGCACTGGACGCACGTTTCATCCTTTCGGCAGTGCGCATTTCATCGGACCCTTGTAGGGCCTGAACCCGCAACTCGACTGTTGCCACTCGGTGGTTAAGACCACTGAGGTACGGGGGACGGCAACGACCATCGTGAATAAGTTACTAGATGTGATATAGCGCCGCTCACTATCCACTGACTTACAGGTTACTGCCGTGCAGAGGACAGGGTAGCCCCTCACCAAGCGACGAGCTTACCAAACTTAAGCCGCCAATTAACTTATGGCATTATAAGCAGTTTGGTCTGCGTACTGATTAGGGAAGAGCAGTAGGGGGAGTGGAATAGAAATTCGTCACATCTAAACTCACTCAGACAGCCGCCACACGCCCGGAAAAGCACTGTACGCGCGTTTCATCCTTTCGGGAATCGTCAGCGGTGCGCATTCCATTGGACCCTGGTAGGGCTCGAACCCGCAACTCGACTGTTGCCACTCGGTGGTTAAGACCACTGAGCTACGGGGGACGGTAAAGAGAAATAAATGTAACAGTTGCATGCCAGCTGAGCTACCAGCAACGGTTGGGCATCGTTCTGGAAAGCTACCAGCCGGCAACTAGGCAACAAACATATGTAAAATTTTATTATGCTAGTCACTGAGATCGCGTTTGGAGAGGGATACGAAAAGTGATAGTGAGAGATAAGGAAACTCACAGCAGAAACGCCACTGAGGTCGACTTCTAGCCATATCACCAAGTGTTTCCAGCAGAAGGTGTTCATCGTCTTTCGGGCCCCAACCAAGGAGCCGTGACGCTCCAACTGAGGCCAGCTTCGAAATGAGGGTCTTCATTCCTCTCGACCAATTTATCGCTTGGCCACCTCTCCTCTTCTTCCATCCACACCCCGGTGAGCAAACAACGCACGTCGCGGAACCCGGTGAGCTGGCCTGCGTAACACATGGCCGAGCCATCGAAGCTTGGTGCATGAAATAATGGTGCTGAGCGGTTCATTACCTTTTCCTGTGCCGTAAACAAGGCGTCGAACACGCTCATTGCTCACGCTGTGTTCCTACCAGATCTGAGCCAAACTGCGAAGGCACCGATGGTCGAACATAACTAGCCTCTTCATCTCCGCCGATCTTAAGGGCCAGGTTTCGCAACCGTACAGTAAGGTCGAACGTACCGCTGCATTGCACACTCTACCCTTCAGGGCGAGAGTGATCTCGCGCCGGCGCCATAGGTAGCGAAGCTTAGCAAAAGCACTTCGAGCTTTTGCTATACGGTTCGTGATCATGTCTTCGGTCCCAAGGGCGCTGATACAACTTCCCAGGTAGTTGAATACCCGTACGACTTCTAGCTGATCCCCACCAAGGATCAGCGAAGGAGGTGGTCCAGGCCAATCTTGGAGGAACGCTTTGCATTTCGATGGTGCAAAGCAAAGCCCAAAGTGACTGACAGCCAGTGCTAATCTGTCCACTGCAGCTTGGCACATTTGTGAGCTCTCACAGATGAGGGCAATATGGTCAGCATACTCCGAGTCAAGAAGTCGTTCTCCTGGGAGTTGCTCCATACCTTCTAAGTCGTGTCCTGTAAATGTAATCTCCATGACCGTCAATAGTGAAGTTGAAGAGGAAAGGTGACAGCGGGCATCGTTGTCTCACACCGCTGGAGATATGGAAGGGCGGTGACAGGTTGCCGTAAGCCCTCACTGTGGCCGTGGTACGCATGCCATTTAGTCTGTGAATGATGACAGAGGCAGGCAATTTGGAGGCGATGGAGATCAAACTGACACCTCTATGTTTGCCGCATTCCTATCGTGATCCTCCCACGAAAATTGGGACTATGACGGAGCAGCTCTTGTGGGTTGCAGCAGTTTCCTGCTTCCACACTTTCACTATTAATTCGTGTAAATCTTAAACAAAAGCAGGGCCTCCAAATTGGAAGTGGGCTGGAGGAAGATCATCTGGTCCCGCGGCTTTGTTCAAATTCAACACTCTGATCTCACGTTTGACTTCTGAGCGAGAGGGCGGAGGCAAAGGGACAGCGCAGAAGAGCAAGCTGATCACTGGCCCGTAGGGAAACGAACAATTCCGGCTGATTAAATTGCTTTTCAAGATGCTAGCCCAACACCCCCAACGTTTTGATAAATTGTGGATAGGCTGTATACTATCGTCACTTGATGTTTCACTAACACCAGGTCTCCTGTTACCCGTTTTCCGTATCAGACTGAATAGTTGTGTTGGTTGCCAAGGGCAGCGGCCACTTCCATATCTGACGCACGGTGAGACCACCAAGATTCGCGGTCTCTCTTCAGGCTAGCACGAAGTTTCGCCCGTAGCACTTTGCGAGTTTCATTGTGTTCGCTTCCAGCCGGGATATGCTGGTGAGCATTGATAAGTTCCAGAGACTGCGAAGAGACCCAATGTCCATGTTAGCTATTAGTCTTCCTACATGAGGATTTGCCTGCTGTTAGTAACGTCTGATAACCATGAGACCAGGGAGCGCTTACTCAACTGGCATGTCAACGTACTTTGATAGGCTTTCAGAACAGCTGGCTTTGTCAGTTGGCTAGTGCCAATGCGCTCACAGCATCGCCGTGGACGTCCGCCATAACGCATCCACATGTCAGCACAGATAAGTGCATAGTCGGTGTCCACAAATGTGCTCCAAATCGAGCGACATTTCTGGATGCAGTCTGTCCACCGGTAACTGATTACAATGTGATGGATTTGCGTCCATAGTTGCTTCAAGGCTGGTGGGCGCCAAGTCACCCTCCGGCGGGTGCTGTGTCAGAAGTTAGTGCTTGCAAGAAATAAGTGAACATCTTCACACAAATGAAGTAACCGCCCACGGTTATCATTGCGTGAGCCTGCTCCGTGTGGACCGCCCAAATGCATTTCATCAGTGGACAACTTTCCAACTTGTGCGTTCAGATCCCCCGCCAGCACGACAGTGTCCGTGGTACTTCTGTGGCGATGGAGCGCGGTCATTTTGCGGTAGAAGTCCTTCTTTTTTACCGAATCCTCGCTAGAGTTTGTTAGCGCGTAGGCAGCAATGAATAGACACCTATTAGTCCCACGCGACTTCGAAGCTTTAAACGAGTCAGCCAATCGGACCGCACACATCCGGCTACTGACTGGGATCCACTGAACCCAAGCAGCTTCAGCCCGGGGATTCAGGGCAACCCCAACACCAACTTGGCCGGTGCTCAAAGTTGTATCGTCACCGGATAGGCGCAATGTGAAGTGCTGCTAGTGTCGTTTGAAGGGGATCGCAGAGTTAGCACAGAACTCGAGTCTTGCAGGCGGATTTCCGATAAGCAGCAAATTTTGATGGAGAGGGTCTCTAAAGTTTAAGCAAGAGCTGCCTGTTGATCGATCTTTGGCACTGTGCGTAAATTGCGGTATACCAATCTGAAGGAGTATCGAGGGCTCCAAATGGAAGCCGATGAACTGGAATAAACTGCTTGGTTGGACATGGACTTATCGACAGGACAAGGATGACGCTCCGCGTTTGTATGTGAGTTGAAACTTGTAGATAAATGCCTAGGAAAGCATGTTGGGGGAGGGCCAAGAATCGGGGGTGGAAAACACGGGGTTAAAAGTGAAGTTAGAACGGGACCATACGGGTGAATAAGTAGACGGAAAGGCTTGCGCAGTAACATCCAAACCCCCATCCACCCTGCTCGATGCAACAGATAGGGCGCCGTTTACTATCCTATGCGACGGCCAGAGCATCAGGAAACTGCTTAAAGCAAAATTCGTTGTATTGCGTGGGCAGAATACTGTCAGGTTGCCCAGGCCTAGACAAGATAATGATCAGGGTTCTCAACCAAATCGTTTTTTTCAAAAACCTGACCGCAATTCAGCGGGTTTGATAGTGGGATGGAATAAGGAGCCAACTTCATTCCAACCCCCAACCTGGAGGATCAGGAGGCTGAGTTTGTCTGGGCTCTGATCATTGACCAATCTGGTATGAGTGGCTCTGAAGGTGCAAAAATCACTACGCAACGTAGCTCAATGGATCTCTGAAGCACGCAAACCATCGCACCACTTTAAGGTCCAGCCTCATTGCGATGCGCAATCTGGCTACAAAACGATGTTACACGCCGCACGCCAAACTGGCCACCACGTCCGTGTATACAAAGCAATCGAATAATTCATCTCAGGGCATACACACAGGTTATACACAAAAGCTGACCTTCGATCAATCAAGGCTGGTCGGTTCAAAAGCGAAGGATCGTTGCGGTACCTCACGAACGAGTGAAATGCTTATTCGCCTAACTGTCTTTTGCTTCTGTTGTCATCTCAGGGATTATTTTCTCAGTAAGAGAAAAGCTAATAAGCATAAGATTCAGGGTCAATGCAGGCTAATCACAAATGGGAGGCAAACAGAAACGTGTACTGGGACCATACGGGTGGGCGGGATGAATAGGGGTAAGTTAGGCAAACACAAAACAAAAGGGTGGTGGAGTTTTCTTACCTCTGCTTTAACACTTCTCCCTTCTTGAGAGAATGAGTTACGTGAGGAGAGTGTAGCTCTGGACGACACGGTCTACCTGCATCCAAAACCAAGGTGTTTAGGGCTTAAGCCAAGCGTACATTATCGTTCGTTCGAGTAACTTGTCAGCACGGTAGTATTTGGAACATTTTTCCCCATTAGCAGAAACCATGACATGATTCGGTAACTCACTGAGCAAGTATACCTTCTGAATTCCATTCATTTCATATTGATTAATATCAGTATCTGAGGCTAGGCGAATGGTTTCTAGTTGTTGCAGTTCCTTTTCAGGTTTTACGTCACTACACTTTGCAGTGCTTAAGTTTCCGATGGGTAAGCGAGGAGTATGACTGGTTACTTGGAATGGAACTGCTACCATCTTTTGCATAAGCATTCTTCTCTCTCAACAGTTTTCTTAGGAGGTTCCTTGCATATCGTCTATCCGGTACTCGATTCACATGTCAGCTTTGAGCATTTTCATCAAGCATATTTTGATCCTTATGCGGCCTTCTGAATATCCGAATACAACGTATTCTTGAGTTAACCGGGCTATGTCTGTTGCTTTTTCTTGCTGATATGGTTATTGGCCCTGGTTTTTTCCGGCTACTTTATCTCCAATTCCGAACTCATATGATATCAGGATATCCTGATGCAGAGGCTATTGGTAAGTTGGTTGGGTGTGAGCATTTGGCTTAAATCTCTTGAATACGAGGTTGATCATGGAAGGTAGCAACATTGGTGGCCTTTTGACCCATTCGTGTAGAACAGTCCTTGCAGCCACTCATGTTTATCGTAAACCGGTGGAAAATTCTGGCGGACGCCCACCCATCACATGCTAATCCAGCAAAAGCACTCTTATACCACACTGCGTCTTATCAAAACTCTTTTTTGCCATTCTTGGCACGTTTACTTATTGGCTCAACGCATATCTTGAGTATGAAGCGCAATTGTTTACTCGAGTAATATGCGTTGACGTTCTCCATTTGACCCTTCACATTTATAGGTTAATTTCATTTATTGCCCCATCCGCATTGATGCAGCAAATGTGCCTACTTACGCGTAAAAAGGCTGTTTTAACGATTTACTAGATTTGACCTGATTAGTTTTCCGCTGTTTGTTTGAGTTTGCACCGCCTACGCACGTATGGCTTTACCTTGGCCGTATTCACCACCCGACGCTATCCTTGGCGTTGGGCGTGAGATGCTGATTTCCATTTTTGACTCAACCACCTTTAGCGGCTACAATATATACTTTATTTAGCTCAATCTCTGGGCGATTATTTTCTGAATTTCAACCAGTATGCTCAACCTCGCACTGTGCTTCGACAGTATTTGTGTCGTTACCAGCGCACTCCTGGGTCCGCTAATTTATTCAAAGTGTACGGGACTGTGTTTCAATGCAGTGCTGTTTTCCTGACTCAGGGTTACTGCCAATCCGCCATCTTAATGGTTTTTTTAGATATCTGAACTTTTAACGGACATCGTGTTTCTACCCGCTCTCTTGTTCAACCTAGAATTTTGTTGTCATTACAAGACAGTTAGCTTCCTTGTTACAACATTCTAACAGCGATACATCTGCATGCTGATTGTCTCTTTCTCGCAGCGTTATTTCGCCTTTGCGGTTCGCAGCATCTTTTCAACAACCATCCACTTCCTCATAGAAATTTTGGAAGACGCAGGCTTTTTATTATCCTGTGTATTAAAATGTGTGCTTTCTGTCTTCTTTAGCATTGTGCCAGAAGATGTTTTGTCGATGAATTCAGGAACTTTTGTTTCCACTGGTGAGCACATATTTCCGAACTTCGCGCGCCATGCACACTTAGTCGCAAGCTTGGTTGTCACCTAATGCCCAACCGTGTCACTATTCACAGCATTAGTTTCAGGGTCACTACTACAAGCTTTCATGGTTTCCTGCTATATAGACCCGTTTCTTAAGCCCCTCAGTTTCACTCTTTGGCCTCAGACTATTCGGTATAGCACTCTTCACCTTGTACTTTCTTGTGCCCGGTTGTGGGGAACATATATGCGGCATCAGATAGTTTCATTATCGAATGCATTCACTTGGGTCGTATAGCTGTGTCTCACTCTGAAGACGGCTATAACTAAGTTCTGTGTGATCCGATTCAACACCGCATGTATTACAAACAACCTAGCACCTAAATCATTAATATACAACCGACTGCCGACCGCATACTTTACTCTGTGCTGCCTGAAGCCACTTGCGAAGGGGATCGTCTGGATCCCTGTTGGGAAGGCGAAACGTATCAGCGGCATCAGGTTCTGTCGTGCACGACTCCAGTTCCAGCTGTCAAATCCACTATTTTTCCATGAACCTTACGCTATCTTTGATCTGAGAAACAAAACTAAGTCTTCCTTGGTGGGCGTTGTATGTGTGCACAGTATGTGCTTAAACCGGCGTGACTTAGTCTGATTTATTGGTCAAACGAGCTTACTTGATCACCGTTGTCTAGTACTCACTCATCTAGGGACCTTATCATTGCCACTCACCAGGGTCACCTTACATCAGCATCACTCGTCAAATAATGTCAAAGACCTGAAGGCGCATCAATTCCTCGAGCCTAGAGTGCCATGTTTCACTGCCGTATAAAAAGCAGTCCTATATGTGATTATGCTTACATGACATATAAAGTCAATGGAAGTTCCCTTTGACACAGCAAACATCGCAGATTCACCTAGACATTTTGGCTTGCGCATTTAAGTGGTCAAACTTCAGCAGTCACACATTTATTGTTACTAATACAAATACAAAGATAGACAAATCATTCACTTTCCTTGTCGGCAGCGTTCAATAAACGAGCAATCGACCACTGGCCCTGCATTCTTACGGTATAACTTGGAGCTGTAAGCCAAAGGCATTGCGCATTTTCCACTCTGAAAATTTCATGCCGGTTGATTGCACCATTTTACGATTGTCTGGCGGCATTAGAATGTCCTCAACGTGATCTAGATCGACAAGCTTTTATAGCGGAATCGATAGACGGATGCTATATGCGCACAACCAACCAACGCAGAGTTTAACCATAAGTAACAATAGAGCGAGGTATACGTTTATTGCTGAAACGTACAGGCTCGCTAACCTACAAAGGCACCCAGCGAAGCTAGGAGATGAAAGGAGGGACGTTCCGGTACCGCAGGAGGTTGACTCTGGCGGCCGGATTCCGGTAGTCTGTCGATATTAACAAAAATGGACGCACTGTTTAATTTCAACGTGTACTGCTGAAATTGTATTCTAGTAATATTTTACACATCATGCAGGGAAGTCTCCGAGTCGCTACACATCTCCCCTCCTGGAAGGGAACGGTGGATGACCCTTCGATCTACGTAAGGACTGTTCGTCGCCAGCCAGCCTTCTGCGGACCGGTTGATGAGACCGGATGCAGCTGCTGGGGGAGCACTGGTGTGATCGGACCCTAGCGGGCTCCGACCCGTGTCCTCCCTACGGATGCCAAAGTAAAATAAAAAAGAAAAGAACCTAGTGTTCAATTCCACAGCGTTTGGCCACGTGATGTCCGGCGGTGTTTAACAGTTGGGAATTGGGGATATGAAAAAGAAGTCAAAGAGCCAGGTCAAGCAGCCGCAGATGACCAGAGCAAACGAAAAACGACAACACTTACTAATTGCGATAAGGGAACAAAACGCGGGCTCTTTGCCTTTTCTAAAGTTTTTCTTCTTTCTTGGATCCATCGCAATGAGGCTAGACCTTACCGTGGTGCGATGATTTGTGTGCCTCAGCGATCCATTGAGCTATGCTGAGTGGTGCTTTTGCACCTTCAGTGGCACTCATACCAGATTGATCAATGGTTAGAGGCCAGACAAACTCAGCCTCCTGATCCTCCAGGTTGGGGGTTGGAATGAGGGTGGCACCTTATTCCTTAAAACGGACTGCTTGTAGCCCAACGCCAAACCCGCTGCCTTGCGGTAAGATTTTTGAACCAAAGGCTTTGGTTGAGAACCCTAGGCCTGGGCAACCTGACAGTATCCTGCCCACGCAATACAATGAATCCTTCCTAAAAAATTTTCGATGCTCTGGCCGTTCTCAGAGGATAATCAACGGTCCCTATCTGCTGCATCGAGCAGGGTGGATGGGAGTTTGGATGCCACTGCTCAAGCCTTCCCGTCTTCTTATTCCCCCTCTTACACTTTTTCACTCTTGCTGTCCCGTTCCAACTTCACCTTTTTCCCCCCAGTTTTCAACCCCTGATTCTTGGCCCCCCCCCAACATGCTTTCCTAGGCATTTATCTACAAGTTTCAACTCACATACAAACGCGGAGCGTCATTCTTGTCCTGTCGATAAGCCCATGTCCAACCAAGTGGTCCATTCCAGTTCATCGGCTTCCATTTGGAGCCCTCGATCCTCCTTCAGATTGGCATGCCTCAATGTACGCACATTCCTACAGTTCGGTCAACAGGCAGCATTTGCCCGAGCATTGGAGACCCTCTCGATCGATATTTGCTACTTATCGGAAATCCGCCTGCAAGACTCGAGCTCTGTACTCACTCTGCGATCCCCTTCAGGTGACGCAAGCAGCGTTTTCTCATTGCGCTTATCCGGTGACGATGCAGCTTCGAGCACCGGCCAAGCTGATGTTGGCATTGCCCTGAGTCCCCGCGCTGGTTGATTGGATTCCAATCAGTAGCCGGATGTGTGCAGTCCGATTGGCTGACTCGTTTAAAGCTTCGAAGTCGCGCGGGACTAATAGGTATCTATTCATCATCGCTGCCTACACACCCACAAACTATAGCGATGATTCCGTAAAGGACGACCTCTAACGCCAACTGACCGAACTCCTTCGCCACAGAAGAAGCACGGACACTATTGTGCTGGCGAGGGATATGAACGCACAAGTTGGAAAATTATCCACTGATGAAATGCATTTGGGCGGTCAGCACGGTGTTGGCTCCCGTAATGATAACGGTTGGCGGTTACTTCATTTGTGTGAAGAGGCTCGCTTATTTCTTGCGAGCAATAACTTCTCACACAGCACCAGCCTCGAACCAGCTATGGACGCAGATCAACCACACTGCGATAAGTTACCGCTGGAGAGACTGCGTCCCGAACTGTCGCTCGATTTGGAGCACATTTGTGGACACCGATCATGCACTTGTATGTACTGACATGCGGATGCGTTTTGGCGGACACCCACGACGACGTTGTGAGCGCATTGACACCAGCCAACTGGCGAAACCAGCTGTTCTGAATGCGTATCAAAGTACGCTGACATGCGAGCTGAGTAATCGCTCACTGGAGAAAATTGATGGTCACTGGTCACATGTTCCTCAGACCTTACTAGCAGCGGGCAAATCCTCATGTGGTATGTCTAAAAGCCAACATGAACATTGGGTCTCTTCTCGGTCTCTGGAACTTATCGACGCTCGCCGGCATATCCCGGATGGAAGCGAGCACAATGAAACTCGCAAAGAGCTCCAGGCAAAACTCCGCGCTAGCCTGAAGAGAGACCGCGAATCTTGGTGGTTTTATCGTGCGTCAGAGATGGAAGTGGCCGCTGCCCTTGGCAACCATCGTAAGTTATTCCGTCTGATACGGGAAACGGGCAGCAGGAGACCTGGTTTTAGTGAAACGATTTGTGATGAGAGTGGACAGCCTATCCACAATTTGTCAAAACGTTTGGAGCGTTGAGCTGAGCATTTTGAAAAGCAATTTAATCGGCTAGAATTGTTCGATTATTCGCCGGTCAGTGATCGCCCTGCTCCGTGGGCTGTCCTTTTCGATCCACCCTCTTGCTCAGAAGTCGAACGTGAGATCGGACTGTTGAAGTTGCACAAAGCCGCGGGACCAGATGATCTACCTCCAGGCCTCTTCAAATTCAGAGGCTCTGCTCTTGTTGATGCTTTACATAAATTACTAGTGTAACTACGGGAGCAGGAGACTGCTTAAACCGGCTGGAGCTGCTCCGTTATTGTTCCCATCTTCAAAGGCGGCTCGCGCTCGGAAATCGGCAATCATAGAGGAATCAGTCTGATCTCCATCGCCTCCAAATTCCCCGCCTCCATAATCCTTCACAGACTGACTGGTGCTCGTGAAAACGAGATTCGTGATGAGCAAGCCGGGATTCGTCGGGGTCGTGGCTGCATCGACCACATCTTCACCTTGCGTCAGTTGTTGGATCACCGTCACACATCTTGGCGGCCCACCGTTGTCGTGTTCCTCGATATCAAAGGTGCATTCGATTCGGTGGATAGACATGCACTTTGGGACTGTCTACTCAGGAAAGGTATACCTGATAATTATGTAAATATTAACCGTGGCATTATACGCGCGTGGCCCAGGCAGAGTGAGGGCTTACGGCAATCTGTCGTCGCCCTTTAATATCTTCAGCGGTGTGAGACAAGGATGCCCGCTGTCACCTTTCCTCTTCAACTTCGCTATTGACGAAGTCATGATGGTTGCATTTACAGGACACGACTTAGAAGGTATGGAGCTACTCCCAGGAGAACGACTTTTTGACTTTGAGTACGCAGACGACATTGTCCTCATCTGTGACAGCTCCCAGACGTGCCAAGCCGCGCTGAACAGGTAAGCACTGTCTGTCAGTCGCTTCGGGCTTTGCTTTGCACCATCGAAATGCAAAGCGTTCCTCCAAGATTGGCAGGGATCGCCTCCTGCGCTGACCCTTGGTGGGGATCAGTTAGAAGTCGTACGGGTATTCAACTACCTGGGAAGTTGTGTCAGCGCCCTTGGGACCGAAGACGTGATCACGAACCGTATAGCAAAAGCTCGAAGTGCTTTTGCTAACATTC